GCTATCTCTTTTGATAGCCGGGCACCATCAGCTTTCTTCACCACATTTGCTTATTCACCCGCTTTGTCTTCAGCGGTTGTGTCAGGAAGGTGAGCATTATAGAATGCCAATTTACTAGAAGAAAGTATTCTTGTGTTGAGGGAGTACTTGAGTGGAGGCCCAATCACAGACACACCCTTTTTGATACAACAAAGCAGTTGATTCATTCATTGCTCGCTCATGGACATCTAGGTTGTTACTACATTGCTGTCATTAAGGCAGAGGTTCAGTAGAAACATTGATAAGCACGATGTGTTCTGAATCTACATGATAGAGTTTTCTCATGGTGGGAGATTTGGGACAAAGAATGTGTGTGCTTATACATTTTAGTAGCTATTTCAGAGTTTATTTTCTTGAACTGATACTTCAGATTCACATAAGGATCCACTCAACTCTGAACTGATACTTCAGATTCACATAAGCATCCACTCAAATTGAGGATGAAGAAACTCACAGAGATACGAGATTGTTCACTTCATAACGTGCATCATTGTTTCACAAGTAAATAAAAAGTGCAATTATTTCTGGAGTGACCAAATTGGTTCTAGTCCATGGACTCACACAGATTGGAATACACAATTATAATTCTGTGGATTGTGCCAAATACCTATCCAATGTTAGTGACCAGAATGCACCATGGGAACCTTCCTGTAATCGCACTTGATGGTATTGCTTTTTTTAAAAAAAATTTACAGACTATTGTTTTTGTTGACTTGTGTCAATTTTCCCTTTGTAGATACAAAATGTCCCAAACACTTTTTAAATAATGCTATTGGAATTCATTTCTCTAGTGTTGATAATGACTGATACTTTTTCTTTTGGGAAAGATGATGATAACAGAATGCCAGGAAGAACTGTACCCCACCAAATTTGACAACTTGGGAAAAAATAGATGACTTTCTGGAAACACACTGCCCATCTAAAGTAACCTGGACTGAGTTAGAAGATCTTAACAGACTCTTGACATAAAGAAGAAATTGATTACATCATTAAATCCCCCTCTCCCCCAAAAGTCCACTGGTAAAAGAGTTGTAAAGCCATTACCAGACTCAATTTTAGAACACTTTCTTTTTCCTTGTATTTATTGTTATTAATATAATTATTATTTTTTAAATTGAGGCAAAAAATGTACCCAGTTCAACAACTTCTACATATATAATTCAGTGTCATTGATTAGACTATTCGTGTGGTAAAACCATTATTGATGTTCTTTTCCACATTATTCCACTACCATTAACCTAAACTCAATGTCCCCTAAGCAAAAACTGGTCCTCCTTCACCCATGGTAACCTTTGGTCAATTTTGGTTTCTTTCTTTACTTTTTTAGATAGCAGTTTTCTTGATATAAAATTCACATATCATACACTTCCATAGTTAAGCTGCTTTAAAAAATAATTTCATATACATCATCACAATTGGTTATACTGCTCCCTTCCTGCTTCCGTATTCATTATTTGCTTCCCAGCTCCCCTCACACTCCCCATCCCAAGTCCCCTCTGTGATAAACCCTTGCATCAGGTATTGTCTCTATGCATCCACTCCTTCTGTGCTTCCTAAATTGGGAAATGTAACAGAAAGAAGAAAAACAATGACAATATACAGATACAAATAAAAGGTAAAAGATAAAAGACTACCAACAATATTAAAATATCTAGAGAAGAAATTTCTGTCATGGAACAAGGGAGAAATATTTAAACCTAGAGCAAATTTAGGTTGAGTCAAGAGGTAGGTCAACTGACCAAGTTTCATATTATAGTGTGGATTGATCCACCATAATCAAGCTTATAATCATCTCTGTCTAATAGTAAGGTTGTTTGAGTCCCTTGCCTGTGAATTCATGGGGTCTATCAGAGGCTTAATCTGACTAGACAGTCTGCAGGTAGATTTTGGGCTCCCACTGGGCTTCCATAGCCTTCTACAAATAGGGTGTTCACAATTTGAGCTCTGATACTTTTTCCTTCATTATATTTTGTTAATGTCATCTTTGGATCACACAGGCTGGTGTGCTTCTTGGATGTAGACTTAGTTGATGCTTCACTTAGATGGCTGCTTGTTTGAATATAAACCTTTAAGACCCCAAACATCTTAAAGGCTTGAAGATAAACAAGCGGCCATTTAGCTGAGAAGCAACAAAGTCCACATGGAAGATGTACACCAGCCTGTGCAATCATGAGGTGTCAATGGGATCAGGTATCCGGCATCAAAGACCCAGAACAAAAAAATAATATCAATGTTAATGAGGGGGAGTGCGGAGTGGTAACCCAAAGCCCATCTGTAGATAATTGGATATCCCATTACAGAAGGATCACAAGGAAGAGAAGAGCCAGTCAGGGTGCAGTATAGCACTGTTGAAACATATAACTTTATTCTAGTTCTTTAATGGCCCCCTTCCCACTATCATGACCCTAATTCTACCTTACAAATCCAGCTAGACCAGAGCATGTACACAGGTACAGATAAGAGCTGGAAACACAGGGAATCTAGGACAGATAAACCCCTCAGGACCAATAATGAGAGTAGTGATACCAGGTGGGTAAGGGAAAGGTGGGGTGAGAAAGGGGGAACCGATCACAATGATCTACATATAACCCCCTCTCTGGGGGATGGACAGCAGAAAAGTGGGTGAAGGGAGACATTGGTCAGTGTAAGACATGAAAAAGTATATATAAATGGTCAAGGGTTCATGGGGGAGGGAGGGCGGGGGAGAGGGGCATGAGGAGCTGATACCAAGGGCTCAAGTAGAAAGAAAATGTTTTGAAAATGATGATGGCAGCACATGTATAATGTTCTTGCCACAATGGATGGATGTATGGATTGTGATAAGAGCTGTACGAGCTCCCTATAAAATGATTGAGAAAATAAAAGACCCCAGGCACTATTCCAATTGATAGTCGGGCACATTCTGCTCTCGTCATCACACTTCGCTGTAGCACCCTTATCTTCATTGATCTCTTCAAGAAGGGGAGTACTGAGCAGGGCCGTGATGTAAGAACTAACTGTTCTTGGATTGGGGTTAGAATTAACTGCCTGACCACGGGTTATGAATGACTATAGTTTACTTTAGTGGTCATATTATGACAAAAACAGAAACAAAAAACCAGCAAGAAAAACAATTAAACAACCCTCCCAAACAAACAAGCATACACACACAAAAGAAAACAATGTCAATTATGCCCCTAGGTATAAGGCGATTGAATTGATAACATCAGTAATTGATCCAATGGCAAACAATTTAAGGTACTGTTGATCTGCAGAGTTTCTGTGAGTGCCGTCCACCTCCGAGCTGCAATCCATGAGTTGCTGCCTTGTACAGTTCTTCATTGGTTGAGCTCTCTTTACACTGAGCATGGGGGTTGGTGTTAGGGGAAACTTTCCTGTAACATTCCTTACAAGGCAGACTCTCGCCTGTCAGATTTGAGTCAGCATCGATTCTATGGCAGTGAGTTTTGTTTGTTTGTTTTTTTGGTTAGGTTCCCTGTAACTAATTTTTAGCATTCCTGCCCAATGTGAGGTTGCTCCTCCCCATTTACCCACCACACCCACCAACAAATATCAGTGCCTGCTCTGAAAAGGAGATGCTCCCCTCCGCTGGTCTTAACTTGATTTTCCAGTAAGATTCTCCTCTCATTCCTGTGGAGGGCCTTGCTCCCTTTTTTTTTAAAATGGCCTTTGCTTTCTTCATGTATAATGTTCTTGATTTCATTCCGCAGCTTAGAAGGTCTTCTGTTATTAGTATTTAATGGCACAAAATATATTCTTGAAATGCAGATGGGATACATTCAAG